TTGCTGAGAGTGCATGGGCTGTAGTGGATGTTTCCATTGATGGACTGCAGATGGATCAATGCCTAGCTACAAACACGAAATGCCGGAGGCTGCCTTCAGGTTGTGTGTTGCAAGATACCCCCAATGGATGCAAGGTACACCATAGCAATTCTTCTACCTCTTGTTCTTGGAAGATTTCAAGTAGGTTTTATGTTTAGTTGTCTAGCAAATCTTTGCAGTGTTGCCATGCCTACCATTGATTCTGAAAGTCCTTAATTTCCTATGTCATGGCCCATGTATACCAGTATGCATGACTTTGGCACCTTTTCAGAAACGCCCATATTAATTCCTGGCAATTGTACTGTACTCATGATAATAATAGGATCATCATTGTTTCCAATCCTCCGCACCATGACAATATTGAACAGACGGTGTTGTTTGGTAGTGTTTCTAGCTTTTTTTTGTTAGTTTATTTTTCTTATGCACTGATAGTCATGCGATGTAGTGTTCGCAAGTCATGGTTAGGCTCATGTTCCCGATAAATTAATTGTTGTTACGAGCGCACCACCCAAAATTAATGTATTGGTCAGCGGGGATGGTTTAAACAATTGCTTCAGAATAATTAACTGATTTTCTAGATCTAATACTTCTACCATGCATACTCCCTTGCTTTTGTTTAGTCATAAGCTCCATCCAAGGGGATCAGATACTTCTATGCCTGGGATTGAGCCCCCTGGGTATCTCCTTGTCTGTTGTTTAATCGATGTGTCTCGTAGAAATTTTGGCACTTCTTTTCTTGCTCACCACAATGAAGAAAAGTAATTTCCTCCTTGGGTTTTGTGCCTGAGCTTTGTATAATCTTTAATGGTAATGCACATCCATCCACACGAGTGGTTGTTTTCCGATTCTTTTTACTTGGACTAAGGAGAGTAAACCTAATTCATTTCTGATACAAATGCCATTTTAGACAAGCTCTTGATTTACGTGAGAGCTTCGAGGGAAAAAAAACACCAGCTCTTTTTACTCATCATTTCACGTGATATCAAATTACATCATATCAATTAATTTATCATGAACTCACAAACCCATAACGGGTGGTAGCTACGTAATCTGAAGTGTTTGAGAAGAATATACTTTGCATTACGTTTATGCCATTGTTCCAGCATATCTTTAGGATTGATAATTAAAATACCCTGATCAGAATGATGTCAGAGCTTGTGACCAGACCCACATGCAGAAGATCTGCTGTTCCTAGATCAATTTTGAGACAGTCACCCCACACAAGGAATATCAAGTTTCCTTATGTTAGTTTTATTTCATTTATGTTGTTTTGGTTCATCCCGCCTTCATTTAATATTTATGCTCCTGTTGAAATGTGGGTAAATGTGTCTCCTTGAGAACACAGTGTCTAGGTATACTCCTAACTCAGTAACTCTTCTGATTTATTGCAATGCAAGCACAAGGTAGAATTTACAATGTGAGTGGCGAAGATAGATTATAGCATTTCAAGGCAGCCTTTACTGTCAAACACATCCCTTGTGTCCCTTCATGTTGTAAACCCTAGCCAAATGGCATGTTAGAGCATGGTTTATTTGGCCCTGTTAAACTAGTACCTGCAGTTCTCTACTATGTAGTGGAATTGTGTGGCAAACCTCCCCTCACGGTGTATTACACCTCAAGACGTTTGCATGTGGGCATGCTTTGATGTGCTAACAGATGTAGCTGAATGTCCACTGTAGGTCACATGGGTTGAGCATGCAGAATATCCTGAGGCATCAGTGCACCAGCTCTACCAGCCTCTTCTGTGCTCTGGCCTCGCCCTTGGTGCAGGGCGGTGGCTTGCTACACTGCAACACCAGTGTGAGTGCTTGGCCATCCTCATGTCATCGCTTGCAGTGCCAGAGCATGACTTAGAAGGTATAGGAAATTTGAAAACACTTAAGATTTGTGTAACATTCCTAGCCTGTGTTGCATGCTAGAGACAAAATTGTAAATGTTTCACTCTTTACACAGCGGTTTCTCTGGAAGGAAAACGGAGCTTGTTGAAGTTGGCACGGAGGATGATGGAGAACTTCTGTGCAGGGATGAGTGCGTCGTCTTCCTGTGAATGGAGGATACTGGATGGCTTAACAGGTAGCATGGGGAAAGATGTACGTGTCATGGTGCAGAACAGTGTGGATGAACCTGGGGTGCCGCCAGGTGTGGTGCTTAGTGTCGCCACAGCAGTATGGTTGCCTGTGACACCTGAGCGGCTCTTCAACTTTCTTCGCGATGAGGAGCTCCGTGCTGAATGGGACATCCTCAGCAATGGTGGCCCTATGCAGCAGATGTTACGCATTACCAAGGGGCAACTGGATGGCAACTCTGTAACTCTACTGAGAGCTGATGTGAGTATTTCCTGCCACATATACTTCCTGATCCCACCTATGTTCTTCATGCTTGTGCTTGTCCGTAAGTTTTTCAATGACTATGTATGTCATCGGTCAAATGTAGAAGTGGCAAGTGCTGAGGATGTTGAAACTTAAGGCTCTGGAGCAATGACTAGCCATCTTGTAACACCAGTGGAAGATAAATAAAAAGTAAAGCCTTTCTCCTGCACTAATACTAAGAAAATCTGCCAAATGTTAATACTACGCCAAGAAAAAAAGGACAAACCTACTCAAGAAGGTATAATTAGTAGGCCAGTAACTGACTACTCTGTTTCTTAGAAAGTGTTAGCACCCAAGCAGACCCATCCCGCATTACAAAGGTCTAAAAGCTTCAGTGATTTTCTCAGTTTTCATGTTTTGAGCTATCGATATCCTTAAAGTACAATAGAATGTGATCTGCTCTTCCTGTTTCCATTGATTGTATAATACTTAACCTTAATGGCTTGCATTATGTTTACAGCATACAAACTCCAACCTGAACAGCATCTTGATTCTACAAGAGACGTGCACTGACAGATCTGGTGCAATGGTCGTGTATGCCCCAGTGGACTTCCCGGCAATGCAGCTTGTGATTGGTGGAGGGGACTCGACGAATGTGGCACTCTTGCCATCTGGTTTCGTCATTCTGCCTGATGGGTCTAGCTCTAGCGCAGGTGGGGTTGGGCACAAGACATGTGGATCGCTGCTCACGGTTGCATTCCAGATCCTTGTGAACAGCCAGCCCATGGCAAAGCTCACGGTGGAGTCAGTGGACACCGTGTACAACCTCATCTCTTGTACCATCGAGAAGATCAGGGCGGCACTTCACTGCGACGTCTGAACTTGGGAACAGGAAACTTTAGGCATGGAGGTAACAGCTGGTAATGAGCCTGAGTCAAGAACGAACCGCGTGAAACATTAGTGACCTTTGCTAGGTGGTACGGGTCGATGGGGCTGGCCCGTAGCACACAGCAATGGTGGTGGTTCGGGTATTGACTCAGCCTCACGCTGCCGCTGTTCTGTTATGGGTGATTTTGGACATGCCTAGGCAATACATGGTTTTGGTTGTTTTAGGGAGTCTGGAGTCGTCTATGTTTTTGTTGGCTGGCTCATGGTTTTTGGTATCAGGTCTCTTTTAACGATAGATGTAGGAGCCCCCGTGATGATACAGTCAATATCTGACAAATGCAGCATTGTATCGTGAGATTCAGTTTCAGATAACTATGGATTTATCTTTTTATGGAACAGTAGTAAGAGTAGCAGCAGTTTATGATAGACGTGTTGTCCAAAACAAGCTTCCGGTTTTGGTAAGGCTATCAGTTTTGCAGGTTTCGGTGACTTCCAATGGAATGATCATTCTGGGAGAACAGCGTATGATCCCAAGTTACCTGCGACTTTCTGCCAGCGCTAGTTCACTCGGCTCAGTTTTATTGAATGCCTAGGTGGTGGACATGAAAGAAGCCAACGTGATATGTTGATATGGTTGGCACGATACAGAACACTCACAAATAGAGATCGGAGATACCAAAGCACACGGCGCCATCGCCGGGCACACGGAGTTCGCAATCAGCCATCTAGACAATGATGCTAGCCGCGGGGCGCACTCAAAATAGGACGGTCTTATGAACATAGCTAGGCAACCAGGCATTGTCTACACGTTGAACCAAACATGCCCTCAAACAACTCCAACATGTAAAAGCATGTAATTCTGCACATCCTAACATGTGATCCTGCACAGTTGGTTTTCAGGAATCAGATGGGGCCCTATTTCATGGGCTAACAGCTAGCAACTCAAAATTATTAGCTCTAGTTTATCCAAACAAGAGGGCTAATAGATGAATTAATTTTTAGCCAAACCCTTAACTAGTTGTTAGCCAGTTTACTAAGTACAAACATCCATTGAATAATAGTTAGTTGGTTTATTTTTAGCTAGCTATTTTTTAGCCCCAGCTAACAATTAACATTAGCCTACATAAGCCCTATTTAGGAGAAAAGTATGTTTGGATACAACAAATCTTCTAGTTTTTAAAACCATGGTTTTGTTTAAACTTTTTAGAGCTTAAAAACTCCACTTGTGACTTCTTTTCTTCTAAACCACAATTTTGTATGACTTATAAAGCCATAGTTCTGTTCTTTGATACCATAGCTTTTGAAATCTAGTCATTCAAACGGGTCCTTAATGGGATACATGCTCCAGCACCAGTAATTCATATATTTTACACCCCAAAGGACCTGTAATTATAATTGGAGATACTATTGTTTCTGGTACTCCCATCTCCATCATCCTCCCTTTCATGGTCTACATACTTATTAGTACCAGAAACACAAGATAGGGCAATCCATTTTTAAACGTAGCTGGCATTCGGGGCTAGGCTTCGGGGCAACAGAAAACAATCTATAAGAGTAAGGATGGGTGGCGCACAACAGCTAGATCTGCCACACTGGATAAACATGATAGTTTCTTCAGAAAGCACTCTCTTACAGAGATACATTACGTCATACATTACGTCTGTAGCCATTAAGCCACGCATGACAGCACTGTTAACTGAAATAACTAGGTTACCATGTTAGCACAGCTTGACACAAGCTATTATCATCTGGAACACAACGAGTTCATGGTGCTTTTGCAGTTTCCCTCACGAGCGCAAACTTCGCAAGTAGACCAGAAAGCTGAAGAAATGATCCAACACCATCACAGATTCTCATGTGTGCAAATCCGGTTTCCTGTGCAAATAAACAGAATATGCTTGTTCAACGGAGGAGAAATCAGCTGCATCTCTGTAAGTCCGAACTCCGAAGGCAGTAACATAGCAGTATCCAGATACATTTTACTAGTTTCCTTCAAGAAAAGTTACAAAGTTATGAAGTTACCTTCAGCATTTCCAGCTTCAGATATTCAGCCATGTCATAATTCTTCACAACACGGAAGAGAGTAGTGATAATGTCAGTAGGAGAGTATCCCAAATCATAAAGTTGCTTCAGTGCAGAGCAGGCCTCATCAAACTTTCCATCAAGCACGTTTTTCATCATGTTCTTGACATGTAAGGGATGTGGTTGATCGCACACCTGGCACCATTACAGTGTCACTACTAACCGAACACACATTAAACATGCAGAAAATGATAAATTGAGTATCAACCTTGAACACATTTTCTTGATTAACAAAGCGGAACCCACTAAATGTTGCTTGCAGGTTGTTCAAAGCCTGTCTCATGTCACCATCAGCAGTAAATATGATAGCTTCCAGCCCCTCTGGCACATAAGGAACCTGATTATACAACAAAATAAATGAAATTAAATTTGGAACCACAGGCCCTGAACAGTGGGACAAAATCACAAAACCCAGTCTCACTGTTCAACTGTTATACGTTCAGCCAAAGAGAGTATAAATCAAACCACCACAGGTGTACCCAGATGTGGTAATGGATTAGGATCCAAATCCATATGGACAATACAATTAAAATCCAAGGAAAAAATTCAAGTCCAAATCTACCACAATACAAAACGACTAATATACAATCCAATTGCTTTTAAGTCCAAATCCATCTAATATGATTCAATAAGAACAAAATTATTATAACTACATGTTGATCTTATGTTAAAAGCTGGACCTTAGAATTAAAAAATGTGTTCACACTTTAAATTATTGACTAAAATTTGTTGGAGATGACTCGGTACGACTGACTGCTAGTTTATGCAGATTGGTGTGACTAGATATGTACGTGTTCATGGGCCACACATCGAAAGTCGGGCCTATAATTAATGGCTCAAATTTGTTGGGATGACTTAGTATGATTGACTGCTACTTTGTGTAGATTGGTGTGACTAGATATATACATTGACCCCACATTGTAAACTCAAAGCTAGACATTGAAGGCTGGTCTACATCATCTCCAATGGATTTTGGATTATATTGGATCAAACTGATGATGTACATCAAATCTAAATAGACCCTAATCCAAGTGTATCCAAAGCAATTAGTGTCCATTTAGACTTTGGATTATCCAAATCTACTCCCACCTATAGGTGTATCCATGATCAAATGAGTTTGAACTGGAAATCATAAAGTATTTAACTTGCATACATCAAGTAGAACTATACAGTTTATTAATCTAGCATTTATTCTGATAGGATAACTCAGCACATCCAGTTTTGCTTTGTTTCGAGTTTTGACCATCTAGTTAAAGGATCATTTGCTGGTTGACAATTTGGCATAATCACAACCATTCTAGATGCATATTTACGGTACACTTCAACTTAAGGTTTTTAAATACGGTGACATCTCAAACAACAGTTGAAATCTATGTCTATTTATAAACAAGAGTTTGTGCTTATTTTCAAGTTTCGATACATCTGGTATCACAATGTGCATATCATGGATAGTTTCTTCCCCTAATTTTGCAAGGAATGCATGCTTTAGTATCTGCCAGAAGCATACACTCAACTATCACAACACACCTGGCTAATTTATTTGAAACAACATTAGGATTCAGTAGCATTTCCAGATAAAATATCGTATCAAAAGCTTACCAACGAATACCATATTCAGTTATTAGTACTCCATTCCAAAATGTAAGGTGTTTGTCCTAAGTCAAAGTTCTCTAACTTTGACCAAGTTTATATAATATATTAACATACACAAGACCAAATAAATGCACTATTAAGACATATTTAATGGTGATCTAATGAAACTAATTTGATGTTGTAGATGTTGGTGAATTTTTCTATAAACTTGGCCAAAGTTGAAGAAGCTTGACCTAAGACAAAACTAAAACACCTTATGTTCTGAAACAAAGGGGTTAGGTACTAGGGTATAGCGGGTAGCGAAACCATCACCTCAGAATTTCACAAGAACAAAAAGAAAACGATACGCTGATGCAGTAGGCAAGTACCCATTAAATGCACACATGCATTGCTTTGTGATAATGTTGAAAATCAAATTCTAAATTGCAGCAATTTACTCTGAGTTCTGCAAATTGACACTGCAATGAAATGATTTCTTAAAGGCATTTTTATAACAATATATAGATAACTCTTATGCTTCCCCCTCTCCTTTACACTTGAATTTATTTATTTATTTATTTTTGTACAAATGCCACCTCCTATGTAAGCTTTACTGACTCAGAAATTGACCATAGATGCCATTATAGGAGAGGATATTCAACACATAACATGTGGGAAACTATAGAAATATATGATAGGAATTGGGCATATCTTTAGGTTTCAGACATGGCATAAACATGCATAGGACACAATCAAGGGGCTCTCTTAAGTTGCAACAGGTGATAAAGCTATATCAAAGTTCACATTGATACTACAGCCAGAAACAATAAAATGTTTCTCAAACCTATACACTTGACTGAAGAGGTTACGTATTAGTTGTTTTTCTAGCTAATGCAACCAAGGCTATCACATTCATAGGTGAACCCCTTAGAGCACCCGCAGTGTTACCGATGTTTCAAACGTCATTTCAACTGCATGTATCCTCGATGCTTGAATCGGTTTCCGCTCACAATGTTCGGCATTGGTGCCCATGGCAACACGGAGACCTTTCCATGAATAAAATAAAATAACTGGATCCGATCTTGGCCTCGCGTTCCAGCATTCTATCTCTGTGAAATAATATTATATAGATTGTATACGGACGAGCACCGATGCCTATACTTTCCTCGACGCATGTTTTTTCCAACTTAGCATCGGTAGTTGCAATGGGAAAATCGATGCTGAAAGTAGCAGAGAGAAGAACCAAGCATCGGTTTTGCACCACACTGCGGCAGCTCTTAGGGGGTGTTTGGTTGCCCCTCCTAAATTTTAGTCGTTGTCCCATCGAATGTTTGGACACATGCATGGAGTATTAAATATAGACCAATTACGAAACTAATTGCATAGTTTGCGACTAATTTGCGAGACGAATCTTTTAAGCCTAATTAGTCCATGATTTGACAATGTTTTGCTACAGTAAACATGTGCTAATGATGGATTGATTAGGCTTAAAAATTTTGTCTCGTGGAGTACTGACGGATTATGTAATTTGTTTTTTTATTAGTATCCGAATACCCTATGCAACATCCTCTCGACATACCTCCTAAATTTTAGTCACTGGATCCAAACACCCCCTTAGTTCAAGAAGTTACGGTATCTCTTCTCTTTTAATTTCATTCAGCACTGGGACCATCTCCCTTTCACATGTTTAACAATGTATTTTCTAATGGTCAGTACTTTATGATAGATCTACTAATATTCCATGTTGCAAACCAAAGTACTTTATTAGTGGCCAATGTTTTTTACAAAAGGTTGATCTCACGGGTTCAGTGTGGATTTATTTGGGCGTTAAGCAGTGCCAAAGATTACCTTCTCAGCTTCCACAACAATCATGAGGCGGCCAAGGATCTCCTGGTCAGAGAGCCTTGAGAACCTGACAATAGCACATCGGCTTTGAATGGGTTCAATTATCTTTGATGAGGTGTTGCATGCTAGTGCAAATCGAGTGGTGTTTGAATAGATCTCCATTGTTCTTCGCAGAGCTTGCTGTGCTCCTGATGTCATGCTGCACACAGCAAGAGTGAGGTTTAAACACATACTCCCATACTAAAACAGGGTTTGTATTCACACATTTGAGCAAACAGATATAGACTCAAAGCTTTAAAACTTCATTTGAACTCCACAAAATAACGAAGTCAGGGTCTGTCCATTTCACTGACAACTAAGAAATTAATTTCCTAGTACTAGTCTTGGGCTCTTGGCTCAAGTCCAAACAACAACCGATGGTGAAATAAGAAAAAGCATGCAAAAAACAACTTGTTTCAGTAAATACAGCACTGCACCTATAACACACTGATAGTGGAAACGCTCTGCGGAGGGGCTTACCTGTCAGCCTCATCCAAGATCACGATTTTGTGCCGCCCTGGCTGCAGGGTGACCTTCTTCTGGGCAAACATCTTGATCTTGTTCCGCACCACATCCAAACCCCTGCAAAAGCACGAACCGACCATCAGGCATCCAACCAAACACCACTCAAGGCGGCCCCGAATCGCCAATACAAAATCACGTCAAGGTAGCAGTCTGGCAGAAACCTGTCATCTGAAGCATTGAGCTCCAGCACGGCCCGCGGTAGCTGGGCCCCAGAAGCTCGTGAGCCAGCGCCAGGATGCTCGTCGTCTTACCGGTCCCAGGAGGCCCCTGCGCGAAAGGAAGTTAAAAAAAAGGGGGGGCGGCGTGCTGCGCGGGGAGGTGTTCGAGGAAATGGCGCTTACGGAGAGGATGAGGTTGGGCATGTTGCCGTCGCGGGCAATGACCTCCAGGCGGGTGACGGCATCAGAGTTGCCGACAACGTCAGCGACGCGGGTGGGGCGGTACTTCTCCACCCACGGGATGTCGTAGGTGTCGGCGGGGGCTGGGTCGGCGGCGGAGGAGGCCATGGCGCTTGGGTGGGCTGCGCTTGCGCCGCGGGAGCCTGAAGGGGGAAACCACGCGATTGTGGAGGGAAAAATTGGGGAATTGGCGAGAGACCCTGCGGCGCGACCGCGCGAGGGTTTTGTTTCGCGTCTGGCCGGCTGGGGCACGGTCGTCCGTCATCTCCCGTCTTTCTTGGACGGCTGGGATCAACCGGAACACCTCCCCGCGAGGGTTTTGTTGCGCGGGAGGTGTTTGGACCATCTCTCTCGCGTCGGATGTTTCAACGCTAATAAGGAGTATTAGACGCAGACTAATTATAAAATTAATGAAGGTTAATTTATGAGATGAATTTATTAAAGAGATGTTCGGCGGAGGTGTTTGGCACGACTTCTCTTGAGGTGTTTCTCTGCGTTTTATTGAAAAATGGCTCCTCCAGGAAAATGTTTGGCAGGGCTCCTCTGCAGGAGCCAGAGCTGGAGTCAAGGAGGAGCCCTGCCAAACAGGTTCTAAGCCTAATTAGTCTATGTTTGACAATGTGGTGCTACAGTAAATATGTGTTAATCATGGATTAATTAGACTTGATAAGTTCGTCTCGCTAATTAGTCTACTCATGTGTAATTAGTTTTATAACTAGCTCATATTTAGTCCTCTTAGTTAGCATCCGAACGTTTGATATGACACGGACTAAACTTTAGCCTATGAATCCAAACACCCCTTAGATTTGGACTGTTAAAAGATCCGAAGTTTATAAAAATAGCATAGAAAGATTTGATTTAGAAAAATAGCATAGAAAGGTTACTATGTTAGGGCAAGTACATTGGTCTTGTCTGGTAGGTGGTCTCATGTAGTGCCACGTAATTTTAAAACGACTTAATAGACAACATATACAATATTTATTTTTTAAGTTGTCTAGTAGTAACTGATAATTCTTTAATTCATACATAGAATAAAAGTAAAGTTGTGAGTTGTATGGCAACAACTCATATAGTGATAAAATAATTGTCTCATAATCCTAAATTTTAGCGCATGAGAGGGTTGTTTCGCACCTCCTCTCTCCCCACTCTCTTTCCTTCACTTGAGAAAAAAATTTATACGGCACTGCATGAGACTGTGTACGTAACTAGGATGGCTTTGATACCAATTGTTCAAACTAATCTTAGACATAGGCCTCGTTCGGCTTGCTGAAACTTGGTTGAAAATATTGTTTCTGGCTGAATTGTTGTGAGAGAAAAACATTGTTCCGGCTGAAAAATCAAGCTGAATGGTGCATATTATAAGGTAAGCCGAACGGGGGCCATAAATGGGATTTTAAACTTAGACTAACACTTGACCACAAAATAAACATAAGGTGGATAACTTAGTAGATGAGTGCCAGAGAGTGTTGGACGTCGCCGTGTGCCTCTGGTGTCGATGTAGTCGTCGCCGTAGGCGTAGCAAGTGAGGATCTTTCACCAGCTGAGGGTTTGGGAACCCTCTGTAGGTGACAGACGTGTCGTGTAATGGCGGTCTTTTGGTCGCCACCGAGATGACCTAGGCAGGGTGGACGTGAGAAGACAGCCTTTCTAAACCCTCCAACGTCTAATCAATCGGTTATGTGAAGTCACAGGGATGAAGCCACCATGGGAGACCTCTTATTTATAATCGTGTTGTGGACCAGGGGGCCGAAACCTAGAAGATCTAAGGGCTGCCGCCGATCACGACAGATCTGATCTGTTGGATATTAAACAGGCGGACCACTATCTTAACAATTAATTAATTTCATAATTAATCTTGGGATTAGCCGAGATCACATTCCAACATTCTCCCACTTGATCGAATAGCTAATGCACCTATGCAGCTAATGTTCACTTTATACTTATGTTCACACTCAGTACTGCAGCAAGACCAAACTAATGCATCGTCAACCACATTAATCACCACTGGGACCCCATTACCCATAGTTCGCTACAATACCTTGTTAGAACACTTATTACTTATTGAGAGTATATGGACTTATTATCAGGAATCATGTTAGAGACTCTGCACTAAACCCAAATTGATTTGCGCGCTCATCAATGGGATAAGTGTTAAGCCTCAAATAATCAAATATGTTAGCGCCAGCTAAGTTTTTATTTTTCTGAAGCTTAATAATTTGATCATTGGTTCTTTCTTTCGCAACATTTAATCAATGTGCTTGGCATCAACATTTCATGTGTTTTTACTCGAAATAATACTGCAACTCAACTGTAGGCGTATAGTAGTATGTCAATACTCAATTTTGGGATAATATTTCTTAAGCCACATGGCATGTCGCATTCATTCTCAAACATGTCACTAATTGAGCTCTTCTTAATACTAATAATTTGGAGCTTTCAGTGAAAATGACCTTTTCTGCAAGAGTAGGTATAATTTATTTGTGCACTTTCTTACACATACTCAAGAGAATTGACAATCGACTAATTCTTATTTCTTATAAGTGACATGATAATTCTTTTGGTGCCTCATTAATAACTTAAAATTCTTTAGCACTTTTTCAGTGGACCCATTCTGAATTAATAAACTAATATTTTACCAAGTATCCCAATGCCAAGTCTAGACTAGTATTAACTTTGAACATTCTTAAAGTTAATAACAGCCAAAGCATATAGAATGTCTTCCTCTTCAACTATTACTAACTTATTCTTAGAATATTTGGGATAATTAAACTTAATGCATTATGCAGTCTGCATTATGCAAATAGACAAACATGGCATTTCAAACTAAGGGCGTGTTCGCTGGTTTTACCAGCCGGCTGAACACCCTCACAGAACACTATTCATCAACCAGCCGCTATATTGTTTCTCTATCACAAAATCAGCTAGTTTCAGCCAAGTTTCAGACCAGCGAACGGGGCCTAAATCACTTATGCATTCACTTGATATGCCTTTGTGATAATCCTAGTACTCATCTGGTCCTGTATTGGTGTATCTTAATGCCCAGAATGTATTAAAAATTTGGTCGACTAGAAAACTCTTACGTGATATTCCTATTGCCACGCATTAATTCAACTTCACTCATGTAGAGTATTAAGATAATAACCTTTTTCACCTTTATTTTCTTATAGACATAATTGTCCATTGAATGGAATTCTAAACCATAGTGTGCTTTAAGCTTAGTTTAAATCTTTCAAAACTTCCTTTGAAGCCACTCTTAGAATTGTAGACCTTTTGTAGCCTACTATTTTGACTTCATTAGAAAACTTATTAACATCCACACTTTATATATACTTATGGACTTTAACTCATAAAATTGCTTGGATTAGAATAATAAAATTTCTCTTCTGATGTGATCATCTTATATATTTATCATGGATCACAAGCAGTTTAATAACAATAGAGGTTTACTTATGTGCCTCATTATCAACTAATGGTTGCTACATATAACTGTTGTGGCATACTAATCGACTCTTGAATAACCCCAACAGAAAATCTAGTAATTTAAAATGGAGATATACTGATGACTTATGGCACAAACAAATATATTTGTCTTCTTGAGTCATTGATACAGAAAACTAAGTCCGTATCTCTTCAAGATTTAGTCTTCCTCCTTTGTGATCTCCCACTAGCTCCCACTGATTTTTGCATTCTCTAAGAACACGTTCATCACATCTTAGCTTAGTGAAAAAGTTATAACAGTAGAAACGCAATTCCTTGGACTTTGCTCCCACTGATTTCTGTTTTCTCTTGGAGCATAATCCCTTGGATTTATCAGGGTGTCATGTGGATAGCTCATTTACTTAGAATCTCATTTCTTATCCTTAACCAGACTGTACTTATGTCTTGCTGAGGTTTTGCCTAGTAAAACTTTTATGGTCAAATATTCATCAAACAACATTGGCCACAATGATAAACATAAGCCATATAAGTCTCTAAAAAGAAGCTTTATTGAACTAGTTTAATCAGCGTTGGCTAGAATGAACTAGAATAAAGAAACTTGATGAACGTGCAAACACTAATCAGCTTTGACCAGAAAATAGTGAAAACAAGTCATACCTCAATTAGAGCTGAGGGACCAAAAATTATGAATTACTTATTTCTCAAGTCCCATAATCTAATAATCTCATTATAATACAGCATCTCTTTCCTGATGAGACAGTCCATTCCCCCCTTCGAAATGTGGCTTAACTATAGTGACACAATTTCGATAAGGTCTCATCCTCTGACTAGATTAACTTAAAGATAAAACATACATAAGGAAACTCATATCAAGAAATAAATCTCTTTGCCAATTAATAAGATAAATCATAATGGAATAAATTTGATGATGTGTCCATAAACTCCAAACTCAAGAACATTTGTTCGGAATTCAGTGAATTTATCAAAACTAAGATATCTTATGCTTTATCAAAGAACTAAACTTAAATCTAATCTAATGTGAAGCTCCAAGGCTCGACTTCATCTTTATTCCATCAATGGCTCCTTAGAAGTCATCCATGCTCCGCGGTGGCTCGCAACAGTCGTCCATGCTTGTTGATGGAATAAAGATGAAGCCATTGATGGAATAAAGATGAAGTCGAGCCTTGGAGGGGGGCCACTGTCAATGACTCACTGTCATACGCCTAATGGAGGGTCTAGGAGAGGGCAGGCTAGCCACATAGTGGCCAACCGTGCCACCAGGGGGGCACGTCCCCAGCGAGGGCGACCTCCAGCCACGCCGCCGACGCCCATAATATCCAGAAGATCTCAAATAGAGGAAAGGAAATAAATAAAATAGGAATAGATGCGGTTTAGATTAGATATGATTTAGAGGAGTCCAAATCTATAAGGACTTTCCTCATTAGATTACTTGAGAGGCAAGTCTATTCGGGACTATAAATATAGGGGCATTATAATCATCTGCATTCAAGAAAGAAATAGCTACGCTTTCCCCTATCCCTCTCTTCCTCTGCGCCTCCCTCTTCCTCTCCCTACCGCCATCCCCTCCCTAGCACCGTCGCCCACCAGGGCCTCAACACCCTAGCTGCACCCCTAGCCACCCCCCAAGAAAGCACTATTACACATGGTAT